GTGCGGTGGGCGGGGCGTGCGAGCACTGAGTGAGGCGGTGTGAGTACTGCGGGGTGGTGTGAGTACTCGGGCGGTGTGAGCACTCTGCAATGCAGGTTCACGGTGTAGGGGAAGCAGAACACCAGGTTCTGCACCTCGCCGCTCACGGTGGCTCCCTTAACAGCAGTCCCGCACAGGGAGGCCCCAGGTCCCATCTGTCATGGGATTGGCCCTGTGCCCAGTTCCACCAGATGTTCATTTTAGGTCCCCCCCCAAAGCTAGTCCAGCTCTGCTGCGAGTGGTTTCTGTGCTGAACTCTAAAATTAATTCCCGTAGCCTTAGCACTGAGGCCAATTAATTTAGATGGTTCATGATTCCAACTGTCACCTCCCACTGCACGTGTCTGTGTCTTTTGGACGAGAGGTCTTGGACTCAGCCTCCTCACCGGCCTCTGTTGCCTGCAGATTGTTAGGAAATTATTTTTCTCCACCTCAGTCCTCACGCCATTCTGCTCATGTCCTGCTGGTGCCCTAATCTTCCTGGCTCCTTTAAGACACGTTCCTGGCCAGGCCGAGGCACACCTGCACACAACTCTGGGAAAACCTGACCGGAACTACAAACACTCCCTCACAAATGCTCCCAGAGCCCCAGGAAGCCCCTCCCAGGACTCCACATACCGCCTCGCAGGGGGTGCTTGTAGCCCTGGGAAGATGAAGATGAAACCCCAGTGATGTGTGGCCAGCCGAGGCCATCAGGCTCCACCTTTGACCTCAGTGTGATGGGTGCCACTCAACCTGGGTGACAGAGTATACAGCAACGCTTCATTGCACACTAAAACCAGAAGAAACCCAGGCAGATACCAGGCAGTTTCAGCGCCACTTGGGTGATATAACAAGACAGGCGCTGATGGGGGAAAGGGCGGGTGGGGTGCGCGTGGCCAGGGAGGGCCTCCCCCCGAGGCAGTGGGAGCCTCGATCTGAAGGCAGAACAGCTTCCGTGGCTGGGCACCAGGTGGACGGCTATCCTCAGCTACTGTGCACGGAGCACGCTGCACACCTGTGGTCTCCTTGCCCGAATGGTCCCTGCTCTCACTGCACATGTGAGTCCTGTGGAAGGCTGCAGACTTGCCAGATGTCCCCAGACCAAGAAGTGGTAGGCCCTGGTGTCCCCTGGCTGGGTGGCCAGGGTCCCCTCTTTGCTGGCCCACTCCGAGCCTTAGCATTGGGTTCGTGTCCCTTGCTGTGCTTCCACTTGGAAGTGCCTGCACATGAGGGACATCCCCTGTCTGGGTCCCTTCTAGCCCAGAACAGGGGCCAGCAGAGACTCCAGCAAGTCAGACCAGATCTTGGGTGGACATTCTGCTGCATACGGGCCTCTGAGCCAACAGCACAATCCTCCCTTCTCCACAGACAAACCCAAGAGAGTGGTATCAAGGAGTCTGTTTCCTGGGGCACCCAAAGGACCCAGGATGTGCCCTGTGAGGCAAGGAGGCCCCTAGAGCGTGGCCACTCGACAGAGATCCCCGTGGTGCAGCCCAGAAAACCAGTGAGGACTCCTAGGGCTGGGAGTGGGGCGGCAAGACGGAGGTGGGGACGAGACGGGGGCTGGGGGTGAGGGGATGCAGGAGAGGCGGGATGGGGGAGAGACGAGAGTGGGATGGGATTGGTGTGACTGTGGGGCTGCTGTACCCCAGGCTGTGGATGTCCAGATGCAGAGCATGACCCTGAGGGGCCCTGACGGGGAGCCCCAACCCGGGCTGGAGAGCCAGGGCCGTGCGGCCTCCATGCCCCGCCTGGCAGCAGAGACACAGGTGGGTGTCTGGGAGGTCGGGGTGTGGGAGGGTAGGGCAGGGGGCTGAGGAGATGGGGAGACGGCCATGTCCCAGGCAGGGGCTTTGTTGGGGGAAGCCTCCCCAAGTGCTCTGCAGCCTGTCAACTCTTGGGTACCCCTGAATGTGGGGCTTGTCTCCAGAGTTGTGGCCAGGCCCCTGAGAGCCGCCCAGCCCTCTCGTCTCTGGGCCAGACCTCCCCTGCCCGGCTGTGCTGCCCCGGAACATGCACGTGCTGCCTCACAGCGCAGTCCACCCTCTGCCCTCAGTGCTCCCAGGGTGCCCTGTCCTGATCTTCCTCTGGACACGGGAGGTGGTGTCCCCTTCACCCCTGCTCCTCTGGGACGGGCCGGTGACTGCACAGGAAGCCTCGGGCAGGGGCCGCGGCTCTGTGTGCTTCCTGGGCTGAGCCCCTCACACGAGGACACAAGGCGGGGTCTGCTGAGCCGAGGCTGTGTCAGGGGACGCAGCTCTCACTTGCTAGGCAGGCAGGGACTTGGAGAAGGGCTTGGTCCGTGGCCTCAGACCTCCAGGGCCTGCCCCCGCTTCCTCTCTGTGCTTCTGGTTCTGTGCATGGAATGTGCACTGTATTCTCATAACTCGTCGCTCTCACTCCCACTGGTGGTGGCTGCCAGTCCCTTACTTTCTCCTGTTTCTGCCCACTGCCCCATGATGCCCACCTGGGCACCGCTGGCCTGGGAGGGAGGAGACACCGCAGAGGCACCCCTGCCACACCCTGGTGGAGGGAGGGTGGGTCTCGGTGGGCGGAGCTTTCCAAGGACAGGGAAGAGCCTGGCGGTCCCATACCCCAGGCCTCCCATGGGGACCTTGCCGACCCCCAAGCCCCGGGAGCACAGCCCGCCCTGTTTGTGGGGAGCACGGTTCCTTCCGAGGGACTGGCTCTGCTGTCGCCGTCTTCCCCCGGAGCCTCCCCGGACGCCCGCTCAGGCCGTGCGCCCGCGTGTCCCCGTGTCCCCGCCGCAGCCGGCCC